TCTCCTCCTCCTCCTCTTCTTCTTCTTCTTCTTCTTCTTCTTCTTCTTCTTCTTCTTCTTCTTCTTTTGGTCTTTTTGAGACAAGGTTTCTCTGTAGCCACAGCTGGCCTGGATTAGCTAATGGAGACCAGGCTGGCCTGGAACTCACAGAGATCTGCGTGCCTCAGCCTCCAGAGGGCTGGGATTAAAGACAGGCGCCACCACGCCCAGTTATATGCTTTCTTAAAAAGTCATATGAAGCTAGTTTGTTAAGTAATCTATTACCATAAAAAAAAGGTCTCCATTTGGTTTGGGATGATCACCTTGGAAAAGGAAGCATGACCCTAGGTTTGGAACACTGATTTAATGTGATCCAAACTCACACATCGGATTAGGGTTATCTGAGCTCTCAGGGGTTGTAGGAGCTTGGGTGGGAATTTTCAGAAAGAAGTTTCATAAGCACAGACAGTTGAAAGATGCTTATGATAAGCATGTGAGGGGCTTTGATGTTTACACTGAACGTCAAAATCTGATTTTCCCTCCAAGGAAGTCTTAGAGAGAGCGTGTAGCCCAGGAAGTTAAAGGGTAGTAGGTGCCTTTACCTGTCTGGCTTTTGCTGGTTCATCTTATTCTCTGGGACGCTGTCTTGGATGTGATAGGCCCCAGTCATTGAAATCAGCACCACCTGAGGAGAGTTTGGCTGTGATGGATTTCCCATTTTTCACCTGGGTCTTTGGTTCTTCTTGGGGCTGTCACTATTACTAGGATAAATGGTCATGCCAGTGACCCCAAGCCTCATCCTGAGACTTATCTATTTGTATTGCTGAAATGGAAGCTGCTGACCTGGGAGTAGGACTCAGACTCTTAGAGTGGGGCAATGGCTCTTGTCTCCCTCCAGTGGTCTGCCTGCTGAAGGCTGGTGGGGTGGGGTTTCTAGTTCTGAGATCATCAGCTGCACTGATCAGCTGCTGACAAGGCTCCTTGAGTCCCCTTAGGGTCATTCACCCTTAGCTGGTAAACATGCTGAACACTGCTTTGGAGATGGTGGGAAGAATGCTCAGGAACCATTCAGAGGAGGAGCAGGTGGTTAGGAAAGCAGGCATTCCACATCCAGGCTTATAGAGAGCTCCTCATGTGTGGCTCTGGTTTCTGACCACAAAGATTTCCTGGTAAACAACATTCTCAGTACCTGTCTCTTTATTCCTGGGGTTACTTCCGTCACCTCAATTTCCATCCTATTAGTGAAGGAAAGAAGTTTACCCCTTGCTATTTCAAAATAGGAAAGTGTGCATGTCAATTGGAGTTGGCCTTGCAAATCTTGAGGTTTGATTGGGAGCTTGATTTGTGGTAATTAAATAATTACTAGTTCACAGTTAAAAGAAAGGGGCGATGGTGGTGTTTCATATCAGATGCCACAAACGGCTTCCCTAATACAAGATCTATGTGTCATTTTCCATTGCAAGCAACAAAACACTCCAAAGCTCTTGAGTGTTTAGTAATTTGTCTTTGCACTTGCTAGCCTCTCAGAAGCCTCACAGCTGAAGAGCTCACATGGGGCCACCAGACTCCTGCGGCCTGAGTGTCACACCTGTGTCTCAGCCTCAGCAGAGATGAGAACAAGTCTCTGCTGGCTTGTGGGCCAGAACCAGGCAACGCTACAAACATCACTTGTGGGCAGATGTTGTGAAATTTAGAGGAGAGAGAAGGGGACTGTTGCAGGAACTGGTGGGATTCATTAAAGGGGGTGGGGCCAATGCAAATACACCAAGCCAAGAGGAGTTGCTGGCAGGAGAGCTGGCTGTTTGAACACTTTGTAAGACTTCGTGGAGGTCTTTAGAAACAGGGCAAGTCCCCATGTGTCTGGAGCGTTTGTGGGAGGTCTTCCCGTAGGCTTGGGTGTGGATTTGATGAACCCTCAAAGCCTTTTCAACGTTCTGATTCTGTGGTCAAGATTAGACAGACAGATGTGGCTGCAGATGAAATAGAATTGGGATCTAGTGGGCTGCTTTATGTGCTGTATCTTTGGCTCCTACTTTCAAGTGTGAGGAATAATCTGTTGTCTGCTACACGGCTGACCGGGTCCTATCTGTTCCAGAAGCCGATTCTCTTCATCTTAACCGTAGCATTATTCTTTCAAAGAAATTTTAAAAATCTACTTATTATCATTTGACAGATCATACATATATATGATTTTAGTTGTTTTTGCTGGCTGTGGTGATGCATGCTGGAGAGGCAGAGGCAGAGCGATCACAGTTTTGAGAAACAATTACTTTGAATCTCTTAAACACTCAAGCAGAGGGCCCGAGAAAATGTACCACTCGTGGATATTACAGATAGACTTTTGGATGTCATTCATTTGATCGCACCCCCAATCAATTCCACCAGCATCTTCTCTCTGTTAACATTTAAAATTCACTTTCACAAAAAATAACAATCATCTCAAAACAAACCGAAAAATCTAACAAGTATCTCACAGAAATAGTCTTTTTCTTTTTTGATTCTTCTTGGTTGAATCAAGAGGATGTCAAGGTTTGATAAAATATGTTTTGAGCATCAAGGGAAGGGGTCCTTTTGAAGACTTCACATTGGAGCCTCTCTCAAAAATGTGAGTTTACTCAGGGAAGAAAGGTGAATTGAATTTCTTCCAAGTAAAACATCCATCTGTATTATGCACTCCTGTTCCATTACAAACAAATACTGACCTTATTCTGATGTGAAGCCAGAGGGGGTGTGAAACACAGTGGGGAGAACAGTCTGCTGCAGAAACATGCACACTCCAGGCAACAGGAACACTGCGTTGAAAGGGAGAAGAGAAAGGTCCCAAGTTGGTCTTTTCTAATTCTTTCACTGTTGCTGACCTTGGGGAAGTAATTCAATACTCATCAGTTGCTTTGGGAAAATTGCCTGTGCTGTTCTAATTGCCAGTCGGATTCTTTTTTCCTACCTGGGATCTATTTCTTGGAATTCTCTGTTCTTTCTTTTAAGAACTTCTCTTGAGAACTTTTTTTTTTTTTTTTTTTTTTTTTTTTTGGTGTATGTGAACTTTTGCCCTAAATACTAGAAACTGGTTTCCACCTGGATGCTGACCAGCTCTTTCCTTCCTTTGGAGCAGCAGGTTACTCATTTGCGATTTCTTCCAGCACGATGTCCTAGGAACAGGCTTTTGAGTGGCACATAAGCTTGGCTAGCTATGGCAAAAGAAAGAAGGGAGACGTAGATTAGCAGATACTCAAAATGTGGAGTTTCGCTATTGAATGAAAACTACACTCACTGTTCTCGTAAAATGGGCTGAGATGAGGATTAAATGAGATAAACAGTTGATTTTCCTACAAGGTAATGTGCCTTGTCCTAACAGTCAAGGCATTATAGAATTTCATGCAATAAAAATGATAGGGCTGGGGCTGGAGAAATGGCCCTAAAGTGTTTAAAAGCACTGGCTGCTGTTGCAGAGGACCTGGGTCCAGTTCCCAGTATCTATGTGGTGGTTAACAACCATCTGTAACGCCTGTTCCAGGGAATCTGATGCCTTATTCTGGCCTCCATGGACATTGCTTAACACTGGTGTACTTACGTACATGCTGGTAAAGCACTCATGCGCATAAAAATAAAAATAAATAAATAAAATCATAGGAACCAGGTGTGGTGCGCACCTTTAGTTCCAGCACTGGGGAGGCGGAGGCAATCAGATCTCTGTGAGACCAAGGCCACAGTGGTCTACATAGTGAGTTCCAAGTCAACTGGGACTTCGGGGAGGCCCTGGTTCTACAGTAAGAGGGAGCTTCTAAGTCATGGAAAAGGACATAATTTCTGGATGAACTGTCCTGGCAATGAAACTGTGATGTTTGGTGTGTCCTGTTTTCCTTTTGCTTTGAATTAAAGTCTAGCATTTGTTGTTTTTCTACCTCCCCCTTTAAGAAGCCACACACATGCCCCATGTGACATGGCAGGCCACAGGACACTGGGTGCTTAGCACTGAAGTCACCATTCTTTTGCTTTGTTTTGTTTTAAAGGTTTATTTTTGCTTTTATTCCTATGTATGTGTGCGTGTTTGTGTGTCTGCCATGTGTGGGTGGGTGTCTCTGGAGACCAGAAGAGGGTGTCAAATCCCCTGGAACTGGAGTTACAGGTAGTTGTGAACCAGTGGGTGCTGGGAACTGAACTCATCCCCTGATATGTGCTCTTAGCCACTGAGCCATGTCTCCAGCTTTGGATTTAGCATTCTAAATTTACTTGGCAGCATGAGAGGTCATGCCATAGTTAGTCACTTTGTGGAATGTTATACATGACCTATCATGGCTTTATGTCTTGGGGAATTGTATTCCTTTATTTCTTTACTTATATGAATAAATTTACATATGATAGCTTTGTGATTGATCATTCCAGACATATATAATACAGTAAGCACTCAGTAAATTTCAGCTAATGACATGTAAATCAACAGGGTTTTTGAATCGATGGCTCAGGCGCTTTCAATACAATGATCAAACATGCACAGTGATACTTGCACGATGCAGTTAGTGAAGACAGTGAGATGAACCCTGTGGAATGAAGTGCAGGGTGTGACTCTGAGCTGTGGCTTTGTCACATACTAGCGGTGTGATTGCAGAAGGACTATTCCACGCCCACAGGAATTCTTACCTGTGACCTGGGGATGTTAGGGCTCTTTGTAAGCTGCGAAGGCCTATGGAAATGTTCAGTCTTAATACAATCACTCATCCAAGACACCACTATGCAGGAAGGTGAACGCAACTTACAGGTGTGAAAGGGCTCTCAAGCTTGTCTCTTTGGCTTGCTCATTTTCATCTTAGTGGGAGAGCTAGCCATGTGTCCGCTGTGCTTTGACTGGCATTGCAAAATGTCTCTGTGTATGTGAGTTTCCTTTTGCTTATGTCAGGAATTCTTTAAGGTATGTCTTAAGCCGAACCTGGGTAGGAATGATAAAGTCCCCTGAGCTGTCATTGCCACATCTCTTACCCATGAGACTGAGTTCTTGTTGCTCTTAATTTTGTTTGCCATTTGGGCAGTTGCACAGAAGTAGTGGTAGGGTGGTGATAAGGCCCTGCAGTATGTGCATTGCTGCCTGAACACTCACACTGGAGTAAAAAAAAATTGACTTTGGGGCTGGATGGTTCAGTGGTTAAGAGCACTTCTGCTCTTCAAGAGGTCTGGAGTTGGGTTCCCAATACCCACATTTAGTGACTCACAACCACAACCACCTGTAATTCCAGTTCTAGACGAACCTATGACCTCTTCTGACCTTCTTGGGCACTTCACACACACACACACACACACACACACACGCACACACACACACAGTTTTAAAACATTTAAATCTTTAAAAAAAGGGACTTTGGGGCCAGTGAAATGACTCAGCTGGCAAAGATACTTGTCAGCCTGGCAACTTGAGTTTGATCCCAGAAACCCACAAAAAGGCGGTAGGTGAAGACTGACCTCAGAAAAGTCGTCCTTTGACCTTCATATGTGCGCTGTTGCACCTGTGTTTCCACATCATACATACACAATAACAATAACTAAATAAATAGACTATCCTGAGGCTTCCATATGAGGAAACCCAAGCCATGTGGGGAGGCTGTCCGAGGTGCCCTAATGGATAGTCCTAGCTAACCTCTGCGTCACTGTACAAGTGTCACACATGGCACACAAGTTGCCCCAGGTGTTGAGCTACCCTTAGCTCATGAGTCATCCTAGACAAGGTGT